TAAGCTGTTTTCGTATTTCACTGTTGGATTGTCTGCAGGGCAATTATTTCTTCCTGTTGAAGCCTAGGAGGCTGGTCGTGTTTCTAGACAATTTGTCCATTTCCTCACTTTCCAGTTGGGTGATGCATAAAGATTTTTGTTAGTATCATAAAAATTGTATCGTTGATCTCTTTGCGGATCGTTGTAGACTATCTCCTTTTTTTCCTGATGGAGCTTATTAGAGATTTCTCTTTTCTGCTTTTCATGCTTTAGCCAATGGGTGTCATTTGTTATTATTTTCAAAAGAACAACTTTGTTGTATTTAAATCTCCTATAGCTTTGCCTGTCTTCAATTTCGTTTAAGTTACTGATTTGTCTTGTTGATTCACTCTTCTGCTGGCGTATTGGGTTGTTCTGTTCTTCTTTTCCAGCCTCTGTTGAGTCGTTCATTAGACTTGTCTATTGTGATCTTGTTCTTTTGGTTATAGCTTTATGGAGATAACTTTCCTCTCAGAAGCTGCTTTAGCTGTGTCCAGAGGAGTGATAATTAGTCTCTCATGTGTTCTTTTCTTCATAGATATTTTTTATTTCCGTCTGATTTCTTTATTTGACGAGAGTAGATATTAGTTGGGAGGTGCTTCAATTTCGACGTTTTCTGGTAGAAATGTGAGTCTCTGTTAGGTATTCTAAGTTGTTATCCGACTGGTGATCTAGAAGGATAGCGATGTGATATTTCTATTTTTTTAATTTCTTGAGATTTCTTTGTTTCCTAGGATATGGTCTCTTAGAGAATGTCCCGTGAGGCGTGAGAAGAACGTATCTTTCAGTGGATTTTGGGTGAATGTTCTGTGACTGATGTCTGTCGACCAATTGTTTAGAGTTTTGTGTTAAGTCCATTATTCTTTATAATTATTGTCTGTTTGGAGGATTGTCTTCGTGCCTTCAGTGTGGGTGTTGAAATCTCCGGCGATTAGTGGAGTTGCTTATAATCCATTTGCTTAGCTCAGTAAGTTTGCTTTGCATGAATTGGGTGCACCTAAGTGGGTGCATATATATTTAAATGTTATCTCTTCTTGTTGGACTGTGCCCTTCACTGATAATAATACCCTCTTTGTTTTTACTTACTGTTATAGCAGCACAATTCATAATTGCAAGGCTGTGGAAACAGCCCAAGTGCCCATCAATCCAAGAATGGATTAATAAAATGTGGTATATGTATACCGTGGAGTACTATTCAGCTCTAAGAAACAATGGTGATGTAGCACATCTTATATTTTCCTGGATAGAGTCGGAACCCATATTACTAAGCAAGGTATCCCAAGAATGGAAAAACAAGTACCACATATACTCGCCAGTAAACTGGTATTAACTGAGCAGCACCTAAATGGACACATAGGAACTACATTAACTGTGTATTGGGCAGGTGGGAGGATGGAGGGGTCGGGTATATGCATACATAATGAGTGAGATGTGCACTGTCTGGGGGATGGTCACGCTTGAAGCTCAAACTTGTGGGGGGAGGGTGGGCAGGGGCATTATTTGAAACCTTAAAATATGTACCCCCATAATATACTGGAATAAAAAAATTTAAAAAAAAAGAAAAAGAAAAATTAGCTGGGCACAGTAGTGCATACCTATAATCCCAGCTACCCAGTAGGCTTAGGCAGGAGGATTGCTTGAGCCCAGGAGTTTGAGGTTGCAGTGAGCTATGATGATTCCAGTGCACTCTAGCCTGGGCAACAGAGTGAGACTCTGTCTCCAAAAGAAAAGAAAAGTAATGGCTACAGAGGTGGGAAGAAAACCAGGAGAATGCAGTATCAGGGAAGCCAGATGAAGAGAACATTCAAAAAGAGAGGAGGTGGTAAGATCTAGAAAATATCCATTGAACTTGACAATAGAGAGGTGGGCGTGGTGAAAGAATTTCTACAGAATAGGGAGAGCAAGACCAGACTGTAGTTGGTTGAGAAGTGAACAGAAAAGATAGCTGGGAAGAGAGAAAAAAAGATAAGGCAGCTGGAGAGACACAAAGTAGGTCTACATTTTTTAATGGTACTGAGTTAACTATGTTAAATGTTGTATTTAATTGCAGCATCTTTAAATACAGGAAATAAAGGGGATAATGAAGAAAATAATGCCTATGAGAAGGAGAAAAAAGGAATTCATAACATAGGAAGAAATTTTAGTTTTAAAAGTAGAAATGTCTATTTGTTATGACAAGGTAGGAAACAGGAAAGCTTAGAGGTAGGTAGATATGTATTTTTTAACCATAATGATTGAAATTGAAGGAGGTCTTAGCTGATAGCTTCTATTGCCTTTGCCTAGAAATCCTGGGCCAGCAGTTTTCAGCTGATTGAGAGGAGGAAGGTGGTGGGTAAGATGCTGAAGAGAGCAAGACAGTTTGAAATGGCCACTGAGGAAAATGGGAGAGAAACTGACTTGGTGAATGTAGGATGGTTTGTCCAGCAATCCTGAGGTCCCAAATGATGTGAAAAAACATAAATTTCATGGCCTTCTGTTTCCCCTACAGTGTTCAGAAAACTAACTGTAAAAGTAGAGAAGGTGGTCAGTTGGTCTGATCCAAGGTTTGGAGTTTGCTAGATTGATTATAAAGAAAAAATTAGCAATTCAGTTGAAGGCATTGTCAAAATAAACAGATGAAGTCATAGACGAGTTAATTAGAAAAGGAAATGAAAGCAAGAGAAGACTGATACAGAGAAAACAAAGGAGTCAAGGGAACAAAACAAGGATCACAAATTCAGATGCTTACAGAGGCCAGGCCAAGAGTCTAAACGCATAAAGCAGGCCAGGAGAAAGTCCATGGGAAAGGATAACAGCTGCTCTTGAGTTCTAGCTAATTCTATCCAGTTGCTGTTATGTGGGAATACAGGTCAGGGTTGTCAGATCTTCTAATATTTCTAGAGAAACCAGAAAGCTGGGATTTATATATGAAATTTCCCATTTTTTAAGTACTACATGAGCAAAATGTTTTGATAGGATAAAATAAGGATAATACCTAAAGCAAACATTGTTGGTATCCTGCCCATATTCCTTCAGCATTTACCTTTTCCAAGCATGATGGCTTGATCTGCAACAGCAAGAATCTACCTGACTCTTTACCTGAGGATTCTCTATGGCTGCCACAATCCACGCTGCCTATTTGTAAGACACTCTGGAAGTATCAGCAAATCAATGTCCACATAACTTCCAGAGCCATTTTTTACCAATACCTGATGTATTTGATGTTGGAGGATGAATACCCTAGTTCCTTCACTGCTTGGGCAGGATAAGTCTGAAGAATGTGTCCTGTACTGGCTCTGAGTTCTTCAATGATAGTAAGCTCCAGCTACCCACAGTAGCAACTTACTTGATAATACAACCTTATTGGTTTCTGTCCTTTCCTTTATTTTCTCACAATTCTGGAGGCTAAAAGTCTGAAATCAAGATGTCAGCAGGATCATACTCTTGCTGATACCTGTAGAGGAACCTTTCCTTGCCTTTTCCTAACTTCCGGTGGGTTGCTGGCAATCTATGGCATTCCTTGGCTTGCAGCTGCATAACTGCAAGCTCTGCCTATGTCTTCAGATGGCATTCTCCAAGTGTATATCTATCTTCACACAGTTGTCTTCATATAAGGAAAATAGTCATATTGGATTGCAGCCCAAACTACTCCAGTATGACCTCATCTTAACTAATTGCATCTGCAACAACCCTATTTCCAAATAAGACCATATTCTGAGGTCCTGGGCGTTAGGACTTCAATATATCATTTTGGGGGTTAGGCAGGTCGAGGGATACACAATTCAACCCATAGCATCAGGTAAAAGAGGAAGAACAAACAAAGGAGACTGAAAAAGAAAGGGGAGAGAGAGACAAAGGAACCAATAGAATGTGGTGTCCTGGAAGCCAAGTGAAGCAGGTGTTTTTAGAATGGAAGGATCAGCTATATCAAATGCAACTGACAGATCAAGATGTATGAATTGAGTATTGAAGTTGTCAAATGCAGGTCATTGCTGATCTTAAACAGTTTCAGAAGTCACTGAAAAGAAAGCCTGTAAAGCTTCAAGACACAACATGGCCCATCAAAAGATTTTCAAATCATTCAAATTAAAATTACAGTGATATTCTATTTAATTATCTACCAGATTGGCAAAAATTTTAATTAGACAATACTACCGTTGGCAAGGATATGGAACAAGAGGAATTTCATCCATTGCTGGTGGAAACAAACCATGGTCTAAACATTTTGGAAAATACTTTGATATTATTATACTTAGTAAAATTGAACAAATACTCTATGATCCAGCAATTCCATTTCCGGGTATATATCCTTTATTCCTTAAAAATCTCTTGTCTGTGTGTACCAGGAGACAGGTATAAGAAAGTGTAGGCCAGGAGCAGTTTAAAGTAATTAGAAAAAAACTAATAAAATACAGGCTTCAGAAAACATAAAACAGTGAAAATAAGGAAACATCTTGTATTAGTCAAACTTCTCCAGAGAGACAGAACCAACAGGATGGATGGATGGATGGACAGATAGAGAAATAAATGAGATGGGGAAATTATTTATTAGGCTCACACAATTATGAAGACTGAGGAGTCCAAAGCTTAGGGTCCACATCTGGTCAGGGCCATCTTGCCGGTGGAGACTTTGTGCAGAGTCTCAAGGCAGTGCAGGGCATCACATGGCAAGGGGGCTGAGCATGCTAGCTCAAGTCTCTCTTCCTCTTCTTATAAAACCACCAGTTCCACTCCCATTATAACCCCATTAATCTATTAACCCACTGATTCACGAATAGATGAATCCATTTAAGAGGGTAGAGCCTTCATGATCCAAACACCTCCAAAAGGCCCCACCTCTTAATACTAACACATTGGGGACTAAGTTTCAACATGACTTTTGGAGGGGAATATTGTAACTTTAGCCACTAAGTAGCAAGTATTTTAGGGATTGTACTATTCATAATAATAGCTATGACATTTAGAGCAAAATAAAACCAGAGTAAAATGCAAAGTAATCTTACAGCAGAGTGCTTCCAGAAATGAATAATTTCAGTGATATTTGTTGCAGGATGAAGTAAAAAGTAGTACTTCCATTCATCCCAGTCTATTGTCATTGTCCCATCAGTATCCATGCTGAAATTTAAAAACCACAGTTTATAACATTTATAACAAAGTTAGCACCATTATAGAAATTAATTAAATGATTCTTAAATATTTATTGTTAGAGCCACTCCTTTGGACTTCATGAATATCACTGTATTTTCACATTTTTAAAAATAGACTATTTTAGAAAAGTTTTAAATTTTCAGGAAAATTGTGAAGCTAGTATAAAGAGTCCCATATATCCCACACCCAGTTTCCCCATTGATAACATCTTACATTAAGATAGTAAAATTAAAGAGCCAATATTGATACACTATTATTAACTAAAGTCCATACTTTATTCAGATTTTTTTAGTTTTTAACTAATGTCATTTTTTCTTTCAGGATCCCATCTGAGATACCACATTCTATTTAGCCATCATGTCTCCCTAGGCTCCTCTTGGCTATGACAATTTCTCAGAATTTCCTTGTTTTTGATAATCTTGACAGCTTTAAGGAGTATTGATCATATATTTTGTCGAATGCCCCTCTACTGGAATTTATTCCATATTGCTTTTTAATTATATATTTGTATGTATTTATCTCATATTTTCCTGTGATATTTTTAAGGGAAAGACTATTTCTAAGTGACCTGTACATCTCTAGCACTAAGCATTCAATAAATGTTTGTTGAATGAATGAGAAGTGAATAAAAATGACTGAAGGGTAATCATATACCTTTTGGCTCTTCTAGGATTATTTTTACTTCTTACCTTCTTCTCCCTATTCATAGATTTTTAAATCACTTTTAAAATAACCTTTTATTTATGAAGTTAAAAAGAAGTCTCACTTTTTACCATGTAAAATTTAGGATTTACTTACTTTTTAAGCATTTCAAATAAAAAAAAAATCTGAATTTGTTTCTTTGTGTCTCAGTAAAAGGTGGAATTAAGTAAAATCCTTTTTAAGTAGAATTTTTCTAAATGGAAATTCTAGAAAGCAAATTCCATTCTTCCAACAAAAAGATTAGTACAATTACTTTTACAGCCAAGACAAAATAGTGGGTATAGAACTTAAACTCCCACTGTAAACAATTATGAACTAGACATAATAAATGAAACAACTGTTTTCAGGCACTGGTCTACAAACAGGACAGGGTTGTGATACCTGAAAGAAGGAACTCTATTCACTCTCATTTATGGCTGGGGACACTTTCCAAACATTAATATAGAGAAGTAGGAGCGTAAGTACAAAACAGGTGGGTAGAATAAACAGCAATTGGAGCTCAGAGCTGCTGAGGCAGCAGAAATTTGCAGGGAAAATTTTGGAGAGTATTCCAGAAACTATATAGATATCCCTTTGAATCTTTGGCTGAATACTAAGTTATACACGACTCCATCAGCCACACAAAAATAGCTATAGAAGGGCTGTGAACTTAATAGAAATTCTGTCGCTCAGCAATGTTGGAGTTCAAAAAAGAAAGAAAGGACAGAAGAAAGGGAGGGAGAAGGAAACATTACATACAAAGGGAAATGGAAAAAGCAACCACCAACATCTCATCATAAGTCCGTGCAAACCAGCAGACATCTTTAATGACAACTTCAAAGTGCTAAGAGAAATAACTGTCAATCTAGAATTCTACATACAACAAAAATAACTGATAAACAAAATAATTACTAAATACTTCACCAACGGGCAATGTGCACCACTTCAATCTGCTTTCATTTATGACACTGTATGGTAATCACCTGGTATTACCTCCCCTACTTGCCTGAAACCCTGAAGCAGGAAGTTTTGGCTTGTTCACAACTGCATGCTTTGCAGCTAGAGCTATGACTGAAGTTCATAGAAGTTCTACAAGTAAATTTTGAATAAATCATTGCTATTGGGAATACAAAATTTATCTTAGCGTAGTATTTAGCAGCATATTTCCAATATTCCAAATAGTACAGCAACATATAATTTTGTGAGTAATGGCTTATAAAATACCCTTTTGTCACATCAGTGGAAAAAAATGTATAGACTGATAAAACTACTAAGTTTCTATCAAACTTGTCCTATCTATGAATACTTTAAAAAAACTTTTTTATTGTAAAAAACATTATTCTTGTTTAATTGCATTATGGATAGAGAACATATTTTGTATGATTCCAATTCTTTTTAATATTTTACATTTCCTTTATGATCTAGCATATGGTCAATTCTTATAAATTTTCTGTACGTTTTAAAAAATGCATACCCTGCAGTTTTTTAGTACAATATTCTATGTATGTTTGCTAGAAAAATACTGATGGTGATATTGTTCAAATATTCTATCCTTAATGATATTTTCTGTCTGTCTGTTCTATTTCTGAGAAATCTCTGTTAAACTGTCTTATGATATTTACCTATTCTTCCTTGTAGTTTCATCAATCTTTGCCTTATTATAAACTTAGGGCTGTATTATTAGATCCATACAAATTTAGAATTGTTATATCTTCTGGGTGAATTAAAGCCCTAATCATTATAAACTGTCCCTTCTCATTTTTAGTAATGAGTTTTGCTTTTTCTATTCGTTCTTTTTCAACATTTTCATTTATAGGAAAATATATCTCTTATAAAAGTATATACTTAGATTTTGTCCACAGCAATAGTCCAAAACATATTTGTGCTTACAAGTATTTAAAATATTCTGACTGTCAGATACAAGATACAGATTAACTACATGTATCTCATGTTAAGAGATAAAAGATAGATTCAAAACAACAAGAAAGAATAAGAAACTATAAATTATTTAACATATTTGGGAAAAAACCAAATGGAACTTCTATAAATAAAAACATAACTAAAAAAGTAAAAAAAAAAAGTAAACTCAACAGAATGGTTAAGTGAAGATAAGATACAGATGAAGAGAGAATTAGTAAATTTGAAGAGATATTTGAAGGACTCACCCAGAATGCCACACAGAAAAAGAAGAAAACAGAAAATATGAGAAAGGGGAATAAAGAGAATGAAAGGGAGGCTATCTTTAAAAACATAAAAATTGAGAATTTTCCAAAATTGTTATAAGACATGAACGCACAGTTTCAGGAAGTACGACATTAATCTTGAGGAAATATAATTAATAAAATGAAAGCCAGACCTATTCACTATATACAAAACACCAATGATAAAAATAAGATCATAAGAGGAGGCAGAGAGAAGAGACAGATCCTCTACCCAGGGTCAATAATCAGACTGACCCAAACTTCCATCTAACAGTGGAATCTAAGAGACAGTAGAATAATATCTCAAAGATCTGAGAAAAAATAATTGTCAAACTAGAATTGTGTATCTAGCAAAACTCTCTTTCCAGAATGAAAGTAAAATAGACATGCTTTCAGATACTCAAAAACTTAGAGTTCAGTACCAATTCCACTAAAGGAATTTCCAAATGATATAAGCTCATGAAGAAGAAAAAGTATCCTGGAGTGACAGTCCAGGACTCAAGAAAAAATGGGTAGTAAATAAAATGCTAAATATAAATATATCTAAACAAATTTTCTGTATAAAATAACAATTACAATATTTGTTCAGTTAAAAGAAAACAAAATACCATATAAATCAGGAGACAGATGATTGGAAATGGAAGTGTTCTCAAGTCTTTCTATTGCTGGAAGAGGAGGGAAAGATTTTGTTTAATCTTTAAATTAAATTTGTACAGTAAAATTTCAAAACCAACTATTAACAAGAAACAAAGAATGTAAATTTCAAACCAGTAAAAAATGAATAAAAATTTTTTTTTAATTTATAAGAAAGGAAAAAAGAGAAGCACACAAAGAGTAGGATGGATAGAAAGCAAAAATACATTAATAGAAACAAGTCCAAATACTATAAATCAATAATTCATATATATATATATACACACACACACATACATACACACACACTGTAAAGTCACCAATCAAAAATCAAATTATCAGGTTGGATAAAAAATTAAATCAATATATAAGCTGTATATAAAAGAAATACTCTTGAATATTTATAGCAGCACAATTCGCAATTGCAAAGATGTGGAAACAACCCAAATGCCCATTAATACATGACTGGATTAATAAAATGTAGTATATGTATACTGTGGAGTACTACTCAGCCATAAAAAATAGTGAACTAATACCCTTTGTAACAAACTGTATGGAACTAGAGACCATTCTTCTAAGCGAAGTATCACAAGAATGGAAAAACAAACACCACATGTACTCACTATTAAACTGGAACTAATTGATCAACACTCATGTGCACATATGGTAGCAAAATTCAGTGAAAACCAAACAGGTGGGAGGGGGAAGGAAGGGACAGGCAAATTCACATCTAACAGTTACAATGCACGCTATCTTGGTGATTGGCACACTTACAACTTTAACTCAAATGGCACAAAAGCAATTCATTGAACCAAAACGGCTGTACCCCTGTAATACTCTGAAATTTAAAAAAAAGACATACTCAAACATATAAGCATACAAAGGATAAATGTAAATGATAGCAAATACCAATAAAACAAAAAGCTGCATTAGTACCATAATAATATCAAGCAAAACAGATTGCATTTTGTAATGATAAAATATTCCATTTGCCAAGAAGATATAACAATTCTGAAGTTGGCTGAGCCTGGAAAGAGCCTCAAAATACATAAGGCTAAAAATAATATAACTGCAAAGAGAAATTGAAAATCCATCCTCATAGTGGTAGATTTCAACATATCAGTCATTTAAAGTCAGGCAGACATCTAAACCATAGAATTAACAAACTTGTTTTAATGCTGTTATGTAATGCCCTGCATGCAACAAGTAGAAAACATATACTCTTCAAGCATATATCAAACATTTACAAAAACTCTATTTGTACTAGGCCATAAAATTAAACCTCAAAAACATTTAAAGAAACAGTATCATACAGGCCATCTTCTTTAACTACAATGCAATTATGTTAGAAATTAATAATAATAAACTCTAAAAATTCCCATACATTTTTAAATGGAAAAAACTACTTCTAAATATCTGAAGTGAAAAAGAATAAAAACTGATTATATATATTTAAACTTAGAGCTAAATAAGAATGAAAATACTAAATTATATAACAAAACTTGTCAAATATATCAAAAGCACTTACAAAAGTACTTAGTTACTGCTCTTGCAATAACAGAAAAGAACTCTGAAAATTGGTGAACTGATCATCCAAACTTAATTGAAAGAATAAACACAAATAAAATAACATTTGTACTATTTTTAGCCTTATGTGTTTTGAGGCTGTTTTGGCTTCAAGCAATTTCATAGATACAACAGCAGGATACAACAAAGAGAATCACATGCCAAAAGTTGATTACTTGAAAGGATTAACAGTAAAATCGGAAAAGGCATACATAAACATTAGGGATGAAAAAAAGAAGAAAACTATAGATTTAGAAGAAACTAAACAGTAAGAATACTATGAGCAGCTTTATGCCAATAAATTTGAAAATTTAGATGAAATTAATAAATTCTTAGAAAAATATAGTTTTTCAAAATTGGCTTAAGAAGGAATGGAAAATGGAAATGGTTGGTTCTAAAACTGTTAATGAAATTGAATCAATTATTTAAAATTTTCTCATAAAGAAAACACCAGGATGAGAGGGTTTTACAATTAAGTTCTTTCAAACATTGAAGGAACAGATTAATCCAATTTTATTCAATCTAGAGAATATAAAAGAAAGACTACTCCCCAACTCACTCCATGAGGTCACTATAACCTAAAAAACAAAATCAGAGTAGGATAGTCAAAAGAATAGAATGGGGCAATCTCACCCATGCACATAAATGTAAAAGTTACAAACAAAATTTTAGCAAATTGAATCCATCAGAATATTTTTTAGGTTATGTTTATCCCAGGAATGTAAGGATAAGTTCACAAAGAGAAAAATCTATAAATTAACTTACCACATTAATAGATTAAGGAAAGATACATATGACCATCTCACAAATCTAAACTTATTTGTAATTAAAAAAAAAAATCTCTTGACAAAATAGAAGGGATCTTCCTTAACATGATGAAGATTATAAACCACTTTTAATGATAAAATATTGGAAGTATTTCCTATTAATATTGTAGAGATGGGGTCTCACTATGTTGCCCAGGCTAGACTCAAATTCCTGGCTTCAAGCAATACCCCTACCTCCGCCTCTCAAAGTGCTGGGATTACAGGCATGAGCCTCCACACCTGGCCAGAAGTATTCCTTTTAAAAAGAGGAAAGAGGCCGGGCGCAGTGGCTCACGCCTGTAATCCTAGCACTCTGGGAGGCCGAGGCGGGCGGATTGCTCGAGGTCAAGAGTTCAAAACCAGCCTGAGCGAGAGCGAGACCCCATCTCTACTATAAATAGAAAGAAATTAATTGGCCAACTAATATATATAGAAAAAATTAGCCAGGCATGGTGGTGCATGCCTGTAGTCCCAGCTACTCGGGAGGCTGAGGCAGGAGGATCGCTTGAGCCCAGGAGATTGAGGTTGCTGTGAGCTAGGCTGACACCACGGCACTCACTCTAGCCTGGGCAACAAAGTGAGACTCTGTCTCAAAAAAATAAATGAATAAAAAGAGGAAAGAGATAGGATGCCCATTGTTACCATTTTCATTCAACACCATTACAGCAAAACAAGAAAAATTAATTGATCAAAGATATAAGGATTGGAAAAGAAGAAATAAAGCCACCAGAATTCAAAATATTATCTTATATGGCAAATATGGCTTCTGTACCCTCAAAGTCCCCACACTACAATTTCTCTGGTTCTTCTCAAGCTATAAACACATCTCTTACCCTTGTGAAAAACTGGAAGACAACAGTTCAAGGCTGTTTAAGTCATAGATAACCTAAAACATGTTATTCTAACACACTTAGAATATATTTTACACAGAGGGCATATCAAAGCACTAGATACTTGGCAGCATTATGAGAAAATCAAACTGGTATAATTTAAGGGATGAGCTGAAACAGTAGGTTTGAGAACCCACATACCACCTCAGGTAGATCCTATAGTGAATCAAGGTACTTAATTCACAGTGTTTACTTCTCAAGCCCAGACATGCTATCAAACATTTATGCTTTGGGGGGAAAAGAGACAGTGGCAAATTAAGAGTAAATAGGAGGGAAGAAAAAAATGGCGGAGTAAAGGTAACCCCCTCCCCAATTCCTGCTCCCAGAGAAGGAGACAAAGATCTTGGTCTCCTACACACAACTGGCTCTCCCCCCTACAAAGACAGCATCAAGAATCTGCAGAGGTTCAGCATGGGACTCTCAAAAAAGGAAATAACAAGGTGATCAGGAGATAAGATTTAGTTCTCTGGAGAGTGCAAAACAAACAACAGGGCATGTGGGAGGGCACCGGCCAGCCAGGCCAGGGGGTGAAAGGAGATCAGACGCACAGGAGAACTCCTTGCTTCCCCATTGACCTCCACACCCACCCAGCCAGGGCTCTGTCTGAAATTGGTGCAAAATTGCAGCAGGAGAAGAGGGTGCTGGAGAGTACCGTCATTATTGGAAACTCCCTGGAGCCCATAGATGGGAGGAAACCAAACTGAACTGATAAGGGAGGCAGTTAGATGTCTTGCCTCTGGTAACGAGCAGGGCCAGCCCTACAGAGCTGTTCACTAAGTCTGGGGCTCTAAGCTGGAACTGCCTCAGGCAAATAAGACTGCACAGGGCGGGTCAGTAAGAGCGAGAACTATGGTTGAACCGGTGGTCAGAAAGGCAGCAAAGAGAAGGCAACAGGGTGTTCTAATGACCCAGACCCCCAACTCAGCACCTGCCACCTCCTAAACAGTTGCCCCCAATGCTGGTGCCCTGTGAGTAGGCAAGCTGTCACCATGGAGGGAGTCAACAGCCCAGCCACCACAGTGCGATATGGTGAGCAGCCAGATCCCCTCCCCCAGCCTAGAGACTCTCCTGACAAATTCTGACCCTATACAATCTACGATAGGCTAGCCAGGCCTGGCTCAATCAACAAACTACTGAGAAGACTAACACCAATGGGAGCCACAGCCACTGGGGCCCCCGGGGTGCAGGGCAGACTGGGGAGCTACTTCCTCCCCCTAGCCCACATCTCTCCTGAAACTGGTAGGCTCCACCCCTGGAGGTAGGGTTAGACAAGAAAACCCACTATCCCCCAGATCTAGGGAGAATCTTCTGGGCCTGTGCACAGTGCATAAGCACACAGTATAAAAGACTTTGCTTCCCAGAACAGTTTAGGTCACCCAGTTGATCAAAACGCTGGGGCTGGATCTCCTCCCCAGGTCAGGGCAGTGGTGAAGGAACAAATCCTCTGCAAGTGGCCACAATAGGCTCCAAAAGTAACCCCTTCCATCAGTGGTACCTTCCAAGTGTGGTGGAACAGCTCCCCCAGTGGCTGATCAAGAAACTACAGAAGAGAGGACCCCTGGGCACCATCAGCTGATCCAGATGGGGACAGCTCAGCGTAAGAATTCTGGAACTTCAAAAAATCAAACTGAAAACACTCCCCCTAAGAGATACACCAGCTCTCAAGAAATGGAGACTGAACAAACCCAAAACACTAAAATGACAGAAGAATTCCAAAACTGGATTGTAAGAAAGTTCAATGATATGCAAGAAAAAATGGATAACCAACACAAAGAAACCACAAAGAAAATCAAGGACTTAGAACAAAGATTCACTAAGGAAATTGAGATCTTGATTTCTGCTGCTTAAATGGTCTAGGGAATGACTTTGCAAGTTGCTTTTAAAGGGATAGATTCAAAGTGAGACAGAATTAATAATAATAAAAAAAGCAAGCTTATTCACAAAGTTATAGAATAAGGAGGAAAATGTCACATGTACAGCAATTAGTTTCTAATACTATAAAACAAATAAAAACAATTAAAAATAAAGATGGGGCTGACCTTTTAATAATCTCGACTGCCTGCTCTTCAGAAATATTCATACCCATAGATTTCAAAGCAGCAAGTATTTCTGAAACTTCTATTACTCCTTTAAATAATGAAAAAAATGTCAAGTTAAAGTATCTGAAAAGACAAGAAGGCAAAAATACTTAGAATGCAAAAGTCTTTAAAATCCCATATGTTTTATTGGTCTGTAAGCCCATATCCACAGCTCAAAGCCTCAAAAGCTCTAAAAACTAAAAAAAAATTTTTGTGAATTTAGCACTAACATTCATTTGATGGCAAAACCTGCTTTAAACTGACATGAGGTTAATTTTAGGTAATTACTTATCTAATTTAGTGCAAATATTCATATTTCATTGCTGAAATATTCAGCAATGTGTATATGTGTATATAATCACATGGTAGTGTATATAATCACATGGTAGTGTATATAATCACATGGTAGTGTATATAATCACATGGTAGTGTATATAATCACATGTGTATATAATCAATGTGTATATAATCACATGGTAGTGCCCCATGCCCCACCTGGGGTAGTATATAACATATCATATATGCAATATATTACCTTTCTAAAATCGAGATTTTAAATTTCAAAACACATCTGGCCCCAAGTGTTTCCAATAAGAGATTGTAGATCTAAATAGGTTCTTGATTATTGTATATACTTGAAAACAATTGAAAAAGTTAATTCTGAAGATTGATTCAGGGGCAGCAAAATAAGGCCACTCAATGTTTTATAAGGTAAGCTTTAAAAGAAACAATATACTTAAAATATAGCCCCAAACTCTTTTAAGACACCATATATATTTAATACAAGCCTACTATGCATTTCACCCTCACATTAATGGATGTTACAAAGGGAAAATTAAGTGTTCCATATTCACCTCAAATTCTAAAATACAAATCTAATCAATTGTTTTCCAAATCCAAATAAACTTTGATTCCTCCCTTGTATAAAGCAAACAGTTGAGGACATCCTGTCTTTCCAAATATGGGGATAACTTTTTTATATAAAAAAAAATCAACTTTCTTCTAGTTGAAAAATATATAATGTCAAAAAGCTACAATAAATTCTGTCACAACTTTAATTTGTATTTCTGAACCATAGCTGCATACGCATATATTTACAAATAGTAGTAAACATATATGTATGAGACATTACTTATTTAGCCAGTGGACAAAGTCCCTTATTCATACATAGAATCTTAGACTCCAAGGCCTCTAGTGTTCTAGACTCAACAGGATGAAATTTATTGGTCTATTACTCAGCCTAGAAATCAAAGTTTCTTCAACTGAGGAGGCTGGATCCTGTGCCTTATATCCCATTATAATCTTCAAACACTATACTCATCAATTCAATTTAGTAACTTTTAAAAGGAAGGGAAGAAGGCTGACTAGAGACATTGGTCACCAGATCATCCTAGAAAGAAGGAAAAGTTTCAAATAAAACAAAAACAAACAAACAAACAAAATCTCAGATGAGACTCTGAAGAAAGATATCAAACCAACCAGAGGTTCCACAGGAAGAAGTTGTGGAACAGAACAAGAAGAAATAAGACAATGGCAGAGATCAATCCCGGAGAAACTCGGAACCCGGTAGTAAGGGTAGGTGAGTGTTACGTTTCTTTTCCCTCACGCCTCTAGTAGTCAGCAGGCTCCTGAGCTGCTGGAGAGCTTTTCTACCCTCACAAGCCCAAAAGCTGCTGCCACTGCCACTGAACTAGGTAGGAGCTTCTTGAAAACAAAGCACTAGGCTGCAGCCCCCTTGGGGTTGCTTCCCCATCACCATAGACCAGAGCCAAGACAGTGCGGTCCATATGGCTTCTCCACCCATAGTGAGCCTTTGTTCTACCCAGGGAGCTCTAGCCTTTCAGTGTTCTTATCACCTATTCCCATACAAACAGTTCCCAATTCCTACACAAATGGCAGTGGGTCCTGGAGATCTGTGTGATCCCAGAGCATGGACATCCTGGTCAGACTATCTTTTGGGGAGAGGGAAAGAGAGGGTTAGAGTGCTGGCTCTCCTCTATTCCGACTCATTCTTCCCCTCCCTTCCCCTGCCCACTGCTGCCAAGTGTCACTGGTGCCACAGGGGCACTTGAGCTGGGGCTCTCTGAAGTGACTGCTTCCCTTCTGTTGGCATTTCCACTGCATCAAGGCTCCCACACAGAGTGAGGCCCACACCTTTCTCCTTGAGGACCTGCAGTGGATCAAGGGATGCTCAGACTGTGAGCTCCCTGCCTGCTGGCTCTCCCCACTGCAGCTTGCCTGGCTGCTCCAGCAGATCAGGGAATATACCCTGAAGCAGAGAGGCATTAAGACTGCTTGAGCACTCCACGAGCAATCTGGGACCAGCAGCTTCTCCCTGCCATGGTCAAGGATTGAACTAAGGAGAGGGATCAGGTGACAGGCCCACAGGCTGGATCCCATACCCCCAGGACTTGATCGTATTGCTTGGGAGCACAGAGGGGAGATTTATGGACTAATCTCAGGAGGCAAGAGAGCCAACATGGGCAGCACTGAAAGGAGAGTGCAGTGTGGGTCCAAGCTGCAGTGCACTAGTGGAGCACCTTCCCGCCACAAGAAAGCCATGCTTTCAGACCAGGGTGGGACCTCAGGCAAAGTTCCCAACCCAGAGCTCCACTGCTGGTGAGATCAGCTACTTCAAGCTTCTGTTTGCAACCAGACACTGGAAAGAGAACCACAGGACGGGGGAAGAGGGAGAAGAGCAAAACCTACTCCCAAAAGCCAGTTGGTGAATCCAAGATGGCCTCTCCCCCATGAGCAGAATTTCTGGTTTGGTGGGGTCACTTCAGGCCCTTGCTGGTGACTTTTCCCAGCAGCTTAGGAGCGGACACTCCATCCAGGCTGAGACAGCTTTTGTGCCTGCTTTTGTTGAGCCTGAAGACAGGCTTCTATGACCTAGCCCCATCCAGCCTCACTTCTCCATTCATCTCTGCTGTGGTGGAGAATAAGGAGTCCCTTAAGAGCTCCAGGGCCCTGCCCACTACCTGGGGCATTCAAGTGCTTCTCCTGAAGGAACAGAGCCAGTCACAAGTCCCAGAGAACAACACTGCAGCTAACTCTTTCCTGCAAGCACCACCTACAGACAGGGAGAACAACTTGTACAGCCCATTATAGCACCTACTTAATCAAACAGAGCACAGCTGATTCTTACCCACGAGCACCACCTACCAATTCAGAGATTAAACCAGCCATCCCAATATAACTCACACTGCTGGGGAAAGGGGAAGATAGCAGATGAGAAGCAGCCTGCACGAGCACCACTCTCAAGGAGAGGATCAAAAGTTTCAGGCAGCCCAAGCTGTGAGGGGACTGCTTCCACCGCCATAGACCTCTGGACTGATCAGGGAGCTGTTCAGATCTATGCAGCAACATTATACCAAGGGCACAGCAGGGATCTGGGGGCTGTTGACTTGGATTTCTACTGAACTCCCAGGTGCATGATGCCAGGTATGTTCAGGACTCAACTCTGCAGTAGTAGCCTTTGCATCACTCCCACCAGGCGAGAGAGGGAGCAGGCAGAAAGGACACTACCCCGTGAAGTGCCCTGTAACTGGGAGCTGAGCATCCCTATCCCCAGCATGGGATCTGAACATAGGAGGAGCTGCAGGTGCCACAGACACCATCTGGGAAGGCTTGGAATGACTGCCTAAGCAGGACTGGAACAAGGGGAGAACCCAGCCAGCTGGTGGCCCTGGCCTGCCTCTACAGTTCCTGAACCCCTGGAACCAACCCCACCATGCAACTGTCAATGCATCAACTATCTTTGCACTGGTGGAACAGATCCCACCCACCTGTGCACTTCTACCCTCATAATCCTCAGATACAGGCTTTCACTGGGCCCAGGCCAAAGGCTCTGCCTCTGCAGCTTCAGGGCTCCTACTGGGCCCCTGACACCACCCCTAAGATTCCTACACTGTGCCTGGGCCCCAAGACACCATTCCTGAGTCTCCACCATTGCCATAGGGCCAGTGGAACAATCCCAAGGTCCAACACTCCACCAGGGACCCCCTTGCCTTGAGCTGCCATTACACCTAGACCTGGATTGAGCAAACACCCACAACCTAGTCACCCACAACCACTGCCTAGATAGCCTCACCCAGCTGCCACTGTCACCTCTGCTGGGAGAGCCCAGGCAGAGGAATCCCCCATAATTTCAGCCTCCATGGAGAGGGTCTGAATCAATCCCCCACTCAAATTTCTAGCAACAAGCTGTGAAATAACCCACCATCCCAAAAAAAGAGCATCCAGCACTGGCTTGAAATGAAGCAATCACAGGGTAACAGGACAAAACAGAATAGCTGCACTACAGGCTTTCAGTGCAGCTGTCCCTCCCCTGATTGATCAACATTCCAAAGTAGGACACAAAAGCACCATCTATTGTCCTCCCCTTTTCCTAACTAAGCAGGAGTGTTCTCAGCAAAGGAGACAGAACCTATTAGCCCAGAGCTGAGGGAAAAACAGTCAGATGAGAAGAAACCAGCAAAAAAACCCTCTGACAACATGAAAAAACAGAACAATTCAACACCTCCAAGGGATAACAATGGGGCTACAATAGTGAATGCCAATCAAAAGGAAACTGTTGAAATGACAGAAATGGAATTCAAAATATGGATGGCAAATAAGATGAATGGAATTGAAGAGAAAGTTGAAAACCAACAAAAAGAAGCCAAAAAGAGAATGACAAAATATCAGTGGAAAAGCTGCTAAAGAGCCAGACAAAATAAGAAAGGATATAACAGAACTTTAAGAAATGAAACAGTCATCTAAGGAATTTCAAAACACAGCCAAAAGCTTCAATAACAGACTAAACCAAGGAGAAAAGAGAATCTCAGAACTTGACAAGGCTCTCCAGCTAACAGTCATTCAAAGAGGCAAAGAAGAGAATACAAAAGAATGAACAATCACTTAGAGAAATATGGGATTATGCAAAGCTAACGTATGAAGTATATGTATCCCTGAGGGAAAAAAAGACAGAACAAAAAACATGGAAAACCTATTAGAGGGAATTATTGAGGAAAACATCCTGGTATCACCAGAGATTCAGACATCCAG